ACTTTTCTAGGCCAGGACCGTGAGATGGTTGTAATCCTGTGATGTGTCAATAAAATCTGATATTTGTAAGGTCTGCTTTTTCCTTCCCGTTGTCCTTCAAGAACACAATGAAAATCTATTCTGTTGGCTAGCTGAGTAACGGCATTTAATGCCCCATAACACATTCAGCCGCTCGATCCTATAGGAAATAACGGCATTTAATGCCCCGTAACACATTCAGCCGCTCGATCCTATAGAAAATAACGGCATTTAATGCCCCGTGACACATTCAGCCGATCGATCATATAGAAAATAACGGCATTTAATGCCCCGTAACACATTCAGCCGATCGATCCTATAGGAAATAACGGCATTTAACGCCCCGTGACACATTCAGCCGATCGATCCTATAGGAAATAACGGCATTTAATGCCCCGTGACACATTCAGCCGATCGATCATATAGGAAATAACGGCATTTAATGCCCCGTGACACATTCAGCCGATCGATCCTATAGGAAATAACGGCATTTAACGCCCCGTGACACATTCAGCCGATCGATCCTATAGGAAATAACGGCATTTAATGCCCCGTGACACATTCAGCCGATCGATCATATAGGAAATAACGGCATTTAATGCCCCGTGACACATTCAGCCGATCGATCCTATAGGAAATAACGGCATTTAATGCCCCATAACACATTCAGCCGATCGATCCTATAGGAAATAACGGCATTTAATGCCCCGTGACACATTCAGCCGATCGATCCTATAGGAAATAACGGCATTTAATGCCCCATAACACATTCAGCCGATCGATCCTATAGGAAATAACGGCATTTAATGCCCCGTGACACATTCAGCCGATCGATCCTATAGGAAATAACGGCATTTAATGCCCCATGACACATTCAGCCGATCGGTCCTATAGGAAATAACGGCATTTAATGCCCCGTGACACATTCAGCCGATCGGTCCTATAGGAAATAACGGCATTTAATGCCCCATGACACATTCAGCCGATCGGTCCTATAGGAAATAACGGCATTTAATGCCCCGTGACACATTCAGCCGATCGATCCTATAGGAAATAACGGCATTTAATGCCCCATGCCCCATAACACATTCAGCCAATCGGTCCTATAGGAAATAACGGCATTTAATGCCCCGTGACACATTCAGCAGATCGATCCTATAGGAAATAACGACATTTAATGCCCCGTGACACATTCAGCCGATCGATCCTATAGGAAATAACGGCATTTAATGCCCCATAACACATTCAGCCGATCGGTCCTATAGAAAATAACGGCATTTATGCCCCATAACACATTCAGCCGATCGGTCCTATAGGAAATAACGGCATTTAATGCCCCGTGACACATTCAGCCAATCAATCCTATAGGAAATAACGGCATTTAATGCCCCGTGACACATTCAGCCGATCGATCCTATAGGAAATAACGGCATTTAATGCCCCATAACACATTCAGCCGATCGGTCCTATAGGAAATAACGGCATTTAATGCCCCGTGACACATTCAGCCGATCGTTCCTATAGGAAATAACGGCATTTAATGCCCCATAACACATTCAGCCAATCGATCCTATAGGAAATAACGGCATTTAATGCCCCATGACACATTCAGCCAATCGATCATATAGGAAATAACGGCATTTAATGCCCCATAACACATTCAGCCGATCGATCCTATAGGAAATAACGGCATTTAATGCCCCGTGACACATTCAGCCGATCGTTCCTATAGGAAATAACGGCATTTAATGCCCCGTGACACATTCAGCCGATCGATCCTATAGGAAATAACGGCATTTAATGCCCCATGACACATTCAGCCGATCGATCCTATAGGAAATAACGGCATTTAATGCCCCATAACACATTCAGCCGATCTGTCCTGTAGGAAATAACGGCATTTAATGCCCCGTGACACATTCAGCCGATCGTTCCTATAGGAAATAACGGCATTTAATGCCCCATAACACATTCAGCCAATCGATCCTATAGGAAATAACGGCATTTAATGCCCCATGACACATTCAGCCAATCGATCATATAGGAAATAACGGCATTTAATGCCCCATAACACATTCAGCCGATCGATCCTATAGGAAATAACGGCATTTAATGCCCCGTGACACATTCAGCCGATCGTTCCTATAGGAAATAACGGCATTTAATGCCCCGTGACACATTCAGCCGATCGATCCTATAGGAAATAACGGCATTTAATGCCCCATGACACATTCAGCCGATCGGTCCTATAGGAAATAACGGCATTTAATGCCCCGTGACACATTCAGCCGATCGATCCTATAGGAAATAACGGCATTTAATGCCCAATGACACATTCAGCCAATCGGTCCTATAGGAAATAACGGCATTTAAATGCCCCATAACACATTCAGCCAATCGGTCCTATAGGAAATAACGGCATTTAATGCCCCGTGACACATTCAGCAGATCGATCCTATAGGAAATAACGACATTTAATGCCCCGTGACACATTCAGCCGATCGATCCTATAGGAAATAACGGCATTTAATGCCCCATAACACATTCAGCCGATCTGTCCTATAGGAAATAACGGCATTTAATGCCCCGTGACACATTCAGCCGATCGTTCCTATAGGAAATAACGGCATTTAATGCCCCATAACACATTCAGCCAATCGATCCTATAGGAAATAACGGCATTTAATGCCCCATAACACATTCAGCCGATCGATCCTATAGGAAATAACGGCATTTAATGCCCCGTGACACATTCAGCCGATCGTTCCTATAGGAAATAACGGCATTTAATGCCCCGTGACACATTCAGCCGATCGATCCTATAGGAAATAACGGCATTTAATGCCCCATAACACATTCAGCCGATCGGTCCTATAGGAAATAACGGCATTTAATGCCCCGTGACACATTCAGCCAATCAATCCTATAGGAAATAACGGCATTTAATGCCCCGTGACACATTCAGCCGATCGATCCTATAGGAAATAACGGCATTTAATGCCCCATAACACATTCAGCCGATCGGTCCTATAGGAAATAACGGCATTTAATGCCCCGTGACACATTCAGCCGATCGTTCCTATAGGAAATAACGGCATTTAATGCCCCATAACACATTCAGCCAATCGATCCTATAGGAAATAACGGCATTTAATGCCCCATGACACATTCAGCCAATCGATCATATAGGAAATAACGGCATTTAATGCCCCATAACACATTCAGCCGATCGATCCTATAGGAAATAACGGCATTTAATGCCCCGTGACACATTCAGCCGATCGTTCCTATAGGAAATAACGGCATTTAATGCCCCGTGACACATTCAGCCGATCGGTCCTATAGGAAATAACGGCATTTAATGCCCCATGACACATTCAGCCGATCGGTCCTATAGGAAATAACGGCATTTAATGCCCCGTGACACATTCAGCCGATCGATCCTATAGGAAATAACGGCATTTAATGCCCCATGACACATTCAGCCGATCGATCCTATAGGAAATAACGGCATTTAATGCCCCATAACACATTCAGCCAATCGATCCTATAGGAAATAACGGCATTTAATGCCCCATGACACATTCAGCCAATCGATCCTATAGGAAATAACGGCATTTAATGCCCCGTGACACATTCAGCCGATCGATCCTATAGGAAATAACGGCATTTAATGCCCCGTGACACATTCAGCCGATCGATCCTATAGGAAATAACGGCATTTAATGCCCCGTGACACATTCAGCCGATCGATCCTATAGGAAATAACGGCATTTAATGCCCCATAACACATATAGCCGATCGGTCCTATAGAAAATAACGGCATTTAATGCCCCGTGACACATTCAGCCGATCGATCCTATAGGAAATAACGGCATTTAATGCCCCATAACACATATAGCCGATCGATCCTATAGGAAATAACGGCATTTAATGCCCCGTGACACATTCAGCCGATCGATCCTATAGGAAATAACGGCATTTAATGCCCCATAACACATATAGCCGATCGGTCCTATAGAAAATAACGGCATTTAATGCCCCGTGACACATTCAGCCGATCGATCCTATAGGAAATAACGGCATTTAATGCCCCATAACACATTCAGCCAATCAATCCTATAGGAAATAACGGCATTTAATGCCCCGTGACACATTCAGATGATCTGTCCTATAGGAAATAACGGCATTTAATGCCCCATGACACATTCAGCCGCTCGGTCCTATAGGAAATAACGGCATTTTTTTAAATGAAGAGAATTGCTTATGAATATGTAAACTAATATTTTCACTCTGAAGCAAAAGCAACTTCTGAAAGACTGTGCCAGGGCACTTTATGCAAATCAGCTTATTTCCCAAAATCCTTTTCTCAAAGGAAGAAAATGAGAGTTCATCACGTGCTGGGATTGACATGGTTTTCATGAAAGGTGGAATCTTGGGAGATTTAAGTAGATTTACACACAGAGCAATAAATAACTCTAATCATTCAAAATGGCAGCAACCTTTACCCCATTTCAGCAGAAGAATATTGATTTTCTATATATATGTGTATAAATACAAATATTTGTAATCAACACATTTTCTACATTATATTAATCCCATTGATCAAACACTAAAGGCAGGACAGTGCAGAGTTCATCTGCTAGGATTCAATGGAAATGCAATGCCTGGATTGAATATCTGAGATGAAATGAAAGTATTTAGAATATTGGGCAGACTAGATGGGTGGAATGGTTCTTATCTGCCGTCACATTCTAGGTTTCTATGAGAAACGCTCTCAGGTAGCATTTATTCCCCTTTGTCTCTGGCACCTTCCCTCCAAAAAACGCTCTCCTGGCAGATTTCAAAGTTGTTCAGTCAGAGTGGCCCGGGAACCGTGCGGTCACCATATGCCGAAAATAGTTCCATAACATTCATAGCGAAGGCCCGCTTAGGTGACCGGAGACCCACAAAGTCCTCATACTGATATTAGTTCCATAGCGGTCGCAGCTAAGTATTGCCTGGACTATTCGTGGGTTTGCTTCAGGCAAATGGCCGCCAGAGAGCTAGCGTTCGGTTCCATTCAAATGAAGGGAAAGTCCCGAACCAAGGGGCACCCAGAGAAAGCTGCTATTGACGGCTGGGCATGGTAACTCCCAAACGTTGTCTCTGACCTGGACCATAGTCAGTGGGCAGGAGGCTAGCTTCCACACTCATCCAGGAGTCCATGGAAAACATATGTGGGAAGGAGCATTTGTCACATGTATAAAGGACAAAGTTCTAGAATGTTGACCCCACTTTTAGAATCATGTCCCAATTGTTCCATGGGAAAAGCAGCATACAGGCTGATTTGGTACCCACCAAGCACATTGCACCATCACACTCCACGTATAGATTAAATGTTTTAATCTATACGACACTGTACTTTCCCACCTCTTCCCAGATGGTTCTGAGAAACCAGTGGCCTTTGCCTCAAGATCCTTGACAAAGACAGAAAGCAATTATGCCCAAAGTAATAAAGAGGGACTAGCATTGATATGGGCAATTCAGTTTCATCTTTACCTCTATGGCAGAGAGTTTACCATATTAACGGATCATAAACCACTTCTTCAGATTTTTAACCATGACAAAGGGATCTCCCAAACAACTGCAACCAGTCTCCAACGCTATGCCCTTGTCAGGATTACTAGTTGATCCAGCACATAGAATTATGTCACACCTAAGACTAAAGGTAACGTCTTACCGGGCCTTAGAGTGGTCAGGGACACAGAAGGAGACACAACGATGAGGGAAAGCCAAAAGTCAGGGATACATGGAAGGCAAACGAAGCCAAAGTCAATAACCAGAAATAAATGCTGAGGAACACACTCTTGGACAACCACTAAGGGAAACCACGACAGGGCAATGAGGAAAGGGCAAAAGGAGTTTAAATAAGCCTCCCTTAGATCCGATTGGCCGTACCCGGCCTTTGACCCCAGAACATGCATGCACGTCCTTTACGTGACGTCACACACACACGACAACGTCGTCAATACCGTGGGCGGACGCAGGATTACAAATTGGTATGGATCCGCAGCGGCCGGCGTCCACCAACATGCTGCAGGAGTCAGATACATTGACGCATGGATGCTGAAGGGCACTACCGCATTTGTTAGTAAGGCAATTACTGCAGATACTGCAAGGTGAGGATGAATATGTTACAGCCCTTGGTAAAACTACTAAGCCTCATCTTTGAAGCAAACACATAAACATATAAAAATAGTACAACATATAAACAAAATATCACCCGAGATCCCTAGATAGGCCTTGAGATCCTTCCTCTTGGGATCTCGGGTGATCTTTTGTTTATATATTATAAAACTAGCAATATCCACACTGACCAGCTCTTATTTGTGTTATTTGCCTTATTGAGGGGTTGTTTTATTTAAGTAAGGAATACATGTTCACAGCTGGGCGATGGCATATAGAGGATTAAAGGGAAACTCTAGTGCCAGGAAAACAATCCATTTTTCTGGCACTGCAGGTCCCCTCTCCCTCCCACCCCCCAATGTCCCATGTCGCTTCTTCTTCCTCCGCCGCCACACCTGCTCTGCATTACGTCGGCCAGTGGAGAGACTGATCACGCCCACCGGCCGGGGAGACCTATTGCGCATGCACGGCAATGCGCATTATAGCTCCCCATAGGAAAGCATTGAAAATGCTTTTCAGTGCTTTCCTATGGGGAATTGAGCGACGCTGGAGGTCCTCACATAGCGTGAGGTCGTCCAGCGACGCTCTAGCACATGTGCTATGAAGGAGGAACTGCCATCTAGTGGCTGTCTAGTAGACAGCCACTAGAGGTGGAGTTAACCCTGCAAGGTAAATTATTTCAGTTTATAAAAAACTGCAATAATTACACTTGCAAGGTTAAGGGTAGTGGGAGTTGGCACCCAGACCACTCCAATAGTGTTAGATAAAATAAATAAGATTTGTGCAAATGTTATACTTGATGCCCAATGCCAAAAAAGTCAATGGATTCCATTGTACATAATTTACCAATATTTTTACCCTCTCCATCGTCCCCAATAATATCGAGCCCTGCTATTAAACAGTACATATTGCCTACAGCTCTAGTTTGTATTATAAATAAGTTTAGAGAAGTGTGCAGTGCCAGCTGCCAGAGAGGGCGTGCAGTTGGTAGCACTGCTTGTGTGATGTGAATGAATGTGGCATTTCGGCTCTCTGCCAGACAGAGCTCTCTTAGCCACACACACAGATCACTCTAGGAGATGAAAATTCATAAAGTTTAGATTAGAAGATTGAATTAAGAAATTCTCTGGGAAGCACTTAACAAGATCATCTCGTGTTAATAAAACAGCTGATTTCAGAAGGAGATTTTTATTGAGCTTATTAAATTAACAAGAAAGGAATCTATTTCTGATCAAGAACTGAAAATATAGCTCCTGGGATGTGAATCGCGCACTTTATTCTTTCCGTCCTTTTAATGCACTGACATTGCCATGGTATGTGACAGAGTCATTGTGCTACATTAAATGGATACATTTACCCTTAATCCTATAATTCTAAAATGCATTAAAAATCGCGAGTATTCTGATTAATTAAAATTGGAAGGGCTGTATGTATTTAGATATCATTATTGACCACTCTCTAATAAAGACTTGAACAATGGTAAAATTCTCCCTCGCGGGCGAACAGCTCTGTATAGCCACTGATTTTAATTACCTGATATGATCTTCTTTTCTTGCAGGTAATTATCACAGTATTAAGGAACACAATGATTCATTTGAGCTTAAAAGAGCACGGTCATCAGTGTATTGTATATATTTCAAGGGAAGAGAATAAAATTGCAGTTTTTGTTCAAGCAGAAAAACAGATGGTTAATGGTTTAATGTTAGTAAAATAATAGGGGTCCAGGCACTCCTTGGTTCAAGACAGGCACCTTATTGAGAACCACAACAATAAAGTGCCTGGACCCCTATTATTTTACTAATGTTTGGAAATCTGGTGTTTGATTCCGGCTCAGCAAGCACCCTGGCTCAGATTTGTGGGAGTGAGTGCAGTTCCACATATATTATTCAATGGTTTAATGTTAGTCCAACTCCCTTGGTTCCATCCTAGTGCGTACATTTTCTGCAGGTATTTTCACACTTTCAGTGTACAGATACGTAAAGAGACAAAATAGGTACCACATCTCTTCATCTCATTGAACCTAACCTACACAGTGCACCTAATGTGTGAGGGAGCCTGGAGTGTCCCTTTAATAATATAAACCCACCCAGTATAACTGTAACCTAACCTACACAGTGCACCTAACATGTGTGGGAGCCTGGAGTGTCCCTTTAATAATATAAACCCACCCAGTATAACTGTAACCCAACCTACACAGTGCATCTAACGTGTGTGGGAGCCTGGAGGGTCCCTTTAATAATATAAACTCACCCAGTATAACTAACTGTAACCTAACCTACACAGTGCATCTAACGTGTGTGGGAGCCTGGAGTGTCCCTTTAATAATATAAACCCACCCAGTATAACTAACTGTAACCTAACCTACACAGTGCATCTAACATGTGTGGGAGCCTGGAGTGTGCCTTTAATAATATAAACCCACCTAGTATAACGAACTGTAACCTAACCTACACAGTGCATCTAACGTGTGTGGGAGCCTGGAGTGTCCCTTTAATAATATAAACCCACCCAGTATAACTAACTGTAACCTAACCTACACAGTGCATCTAACGTGTGTGGGAGCCTGGAGTGTCCCTTTAATAATATAAACCCACCCAGTATAACTAACTGTAACCCAACCTACACAGTGCATCTAACGTGTGTGGGAGCCTGGAGGGTCCCTTTAATAATATAAACCCACCCAGTATAACTAACTGTAACCTAACCTACACAGTGCATCTAATGTGTGTGGGAGCCTGGAGTGTCCTTTTAATAATATAAACCCACCCAGTTTAACTAACTGTAACCTAACCTACACAGTGCACCTAACGTGTGTGGGAGCCTGGAGTGTCCCTTTAATAATATAAACCCACTCAGTATAACTAACTGTAACCTAACCTACACAGCGCACCTAACGTGTGTGGGAGCCTGGAGTGTCTCTTTAATAATATAAACCCACCCAGTATAACTAACTGTAACCTAACCTACACAGTGCATCTAACGTGTGTGGGAGCCTGGAGTGTCCCTTTAATAATATAAACCCACCCAGTATAACTAACTGTAACCTAACCTACACAGTGCATCTAACGTGTGTGGAAGCCTGGAGTGTCCCTTTAATAATATAAACCCACCCAGTATAACTAACTGTAACCTAACCTACACAGTGCACCTAACGTGTGTGGGAGCCTGGAGTGTCCCTTTAATAATATAAACCCACCCAGTATAACTAACTGTAACCTAACCTACACAGTGCATCTAACGTGTGTGGGAGCCTGGAGTGTCCCTTTAATAATATAAACCCACCCAGTATAACTAACTGTAACCTAACCTACACAGTGCATCTAACGTGTGTGGGAGCCTGGAGTGTCCCTTTAATAATATAAACCCACCCAGTATAACTAACTGTAACCTAACCTACACAGTGCATCTAACGTGTGTGGGAGCCTGGAGTGTCCCTTTAATAATATAAACCCACCCAGTATAACTAACTGTAACCTAACCCACACAGTGCATCTAACGTGTGTGGGAGCCTGGAGTGTCCCTTTAATAATATAAACCCACCCAGTATAACTAACTGTAACCTAACCTACATAGTGCATCTAACGTGTGTGGGAGCCTGGAGTGTCCCTTTAATAATATAAACCCACCCAGTATAACTAACTGTAACCTAACCTACACAGTGCATCTAATGTGTGTGGGAGCCTGGAGTGTCCCTTTAATAATATAAACCCACCCAGTATAACTAACTGTAACCTAACCTACACAGTGCACCTAACGTGTGTGGGAGCCTGGAGTGTCCCTTTAATAATATAAACCCACCCAGTATAACTAACTGTAACCTAACCTACACAGTGCATCTAACGTGTGTGGGAGCCTGGAGTGTCCCTTTAATAATATAAACCCACCCAGTATAACTAACTGTAACCTAACCTACACAGTGCATCTAACGTGTGTGGGAGCCTGGAGTGTCTCTTTAATAATATAAACCCACCCAGTATAACTAACTGTAACCTAACCTACACAGTGCATTTAACGTGTGAGGGAACCTGGAGTGTCCCTTTAATAATATAAACACACCCAGTATAACTAACTGTAACCTAATTTACACAGCGCACCTAACGTGTGTGGGAGCCTGGAGTGTCTTTTTAATAATATAAACCAACCCAGTTTAACTAACTGTAACCTAACCTACACAGTGCATCTAACGTGTGAGGGAGCCTGGAGTGTCTCTTTAATAATATAAACCCACCCACTATAACTAACTGTAACCTAACCTACACAGTGCATCTAACGTGTGAGGGAGCCTGGAGTGTCTCTTTAATAATATAAACCAACCCAGTTTAACTAACTGTAACCTAACCTACACAGTGCATCTAACATGTGAGGGAGCCTGGAGTGTCTCTTTAATAATATAAACCAATCCAGTTTAACTAACTGTAACCTAACCTACACAGAACATCTAACGTGTGAGGGAGCCTGAAGTGTCCCTTTAATAATATAAACCCACCCAGTATAACTAACTGTAACCTAACCTACACAGTGCACTAACGTGTGTGGGAGCCTGGAGTGTCCCTTTAATAATATAAACCCACCCAGTATAACTAACTGTAACCTAACCTACACAGTGCATCTAACGTGTGTGGGAGCCTGGAGTGTCCTTTAATAATATAAACCCACCCAGTATAACTAACTGTAACCTAACCTACACAGTGCACCTAACGTGTGTGGGAGCCTGGAGTGTCCTTTAATAATATAAACCCACCCAGTATAACTAACTGTAACCTAAACTACACAGTGCATCTAATGTGTGTGGGAGCCTGGAGTGTCCCTTTAATAATATAAACCCACCCAGTATAACTAACTGTAACCTAACCTACACAGTGCATCTAACGTGTGTGGGAGCCTGGAGTGACCCTTTAATAATATAAACCCACCCAGTATAACTAACTGTAACCTAACATACACAGTGCATCTAACGTGTGTGGGAGCCTGGAGTGTCCCTTTAATAATATAAACCCACCCAGTTTAACTAACTGTAACCTAACCTACACAGTGCATCTAACGTGTGTGGGAGCCTGGAGTGTCCCTTTAATAATATAAACCCCCTCAGTATAACTAACTGTAATCTAACCTACACAGTGCATCTAACGTGTGTGGGAGCCTGGAGTGTCCCTTTAATAATATAAACCCACCCAGTATAACTAACTGTAACCTAACCTACACAGTGCATCTAACGTGTGAGGGAGCCTGGAGTGTCTCTTTAATAATATAAACCCACCCAGTATAACTAACTGTAACCTAACCTACACAGTGCATCTAACGTGTGAGGGAACCTGGAGTGTCCCTTTAATAATATAAACACACCCAGTATAACTAACTGTAACCTAATTTACACAGCGCACCTAACGTGTGTGGGAGCCTGGAGTGTCTTTTTAATAATATAAACCAACCCAGTTTAACTAACTGTAACCTAACCTACACAGTGCATCTAACGTGTGAGGGAGCCTGGAGTGTCTCTTTAATAATATAAACCCACCCACTATAACTAACTGTAACCTAACCTACACAGTGCATCTAACGTGTGAGGGAGCCTGGAGTGTCTCTTTAATAATATAAACCAACCCAGTTTAACTAACTGTAACCTAACCTACACAGTGCATCTAACATGTGAGGGAGCCTGGAGTGTCTCTTTAATAATATAAACCAATCCAGTTTAACTAACTGTAACCTAACCTACACAGAACATCTAACGTGTGAGGGAGCCTGAAGTGTCCCTTTAATAATATAAACACACCCAGTATAACTAACTGTAACCTAATATACACAGCGCACCTAACGTGTGTGGGAGCCTGGAGTGTCTCTTTAATAATATAAACCAATCCAGTTTAACTAACTGTAACCTAACCTACACAGAACATCTAACGTGTGAGGGAGCCTGAAGTGTCCCTTTAATAATATAAACCCACCCAGTATAACTAACTGTAACCTAATATACACAGTGCATCTAATGTGTGTGGGAGCCTGGAGTGTCCCTTTAATAATATAAACACACCCAGTATAACTAACTGTAACCTAACCTACACAGTGCATCTAACGTGTGTGGGAGCCTGGAGTGTCCCTTTAATAATATAAACCCACGCAGTATAGCTGACTGTAACCTACCCTACACAGTGCACCTAACGTGTGTGGGAGCCTGGAGTGTCCCTTTAATAATATAAACCCACCCAGTATAACTAACTGTAACCTAATATACACAGCGCACCTAACGTGTGTGGGAGCCTGGAGTGTCTCTTTAATAATATATATATATTTTTTTTTTTTTTGAGCAGTATACAATAACGCACTAGGGTTCATTCAATAAATCTATAATAAAATAAAATTTGACAGCACAAGTTGCAAAGTTTAGGCTGACATATTTTTTCCAAATCAGTACTTTTTGCACAAATGTTTCAATCCGTTTTTTAATTCACTAAAATTCCCTGCATACTGAATAAACCCCAGATTAGGCCTGGAAATAATAAAGTTATAGCCACAGTTGGAAAACCCAACAGGCGGCTGCTTTTGGGCTGAGCTCCTACACAGTGAATTCCTGGATCTCTGGCTATCAAGGGGCCCTCACTGAACCGTCAGGATGAACCTGCTCGACACAGCACCCCCTCACTTTGTTGAAGAAGCATTGCAACCTACATCGGGTGCTCCGTCACAGTACCCAAGCATTTCTCAATGGCTCAGAGCACCACAGTCATTGAATGGCTGCCAACCGTTACTTAGAACGCAATGCTCCCCCACCAGACCACCAGGGATAACACCCCCAAAGAGTGCGCTCCACTGGACCACCAGGGATAACACCTCCTATTGCAAAAAGCTAAGCAGTTGGAGGGCATATGAAAACAAAATACACTTCCTACACATACTCACATACTTTTGCCACAACACATACACCACACACAAGTTTCCCTTCTAAACATAGTTCAGCCACCACATACAGGCACACTCCGCCTACTCCCAATATACAGCTCTCCGATTCATCCACACAGACAAACACACACAAAATACTCAGCCAACCCCCGAAATAGAGCTCTGTTTCCTCCACACAGACACACACAAAACACTCAGCCTACCCCCCATATACAGCTCTCCGTTTCCTCCACACAGACACACACAAAACACTCAGCCTACCCCCCATATACAGCTCTCCGCTTCCTCCACACACACACAAAATACTCAGCCAACCCCTGAAATACAGCTCTCAGCTTCCTTCACAGAGGGGCACACAACCCTAAGCCTACCCTCCATATACAGCTCTCAGCTTCCTCCACACAGACACACACAAAACACTCAGCCTACCCCCGAAATACAGCTTTCTGCTTCCTCCACACAGACACACACACAACCCTCAGCCTACCCCCCGTATACCGCTCTCAGCTTCCTCCACACAGACACACACAAAACACCCAGCCTACCCCCTAAATACAGCTCTCAGCTTCCTCCACATAGACACACACACACACACACAATACTCAGCCAACCCCTGAAATACAGCTCTCAGCTTCCTTCACAGAGGCGCACACACAACCCTAAGCCTACCCTCCATATACAGCTCTCAGCTTCCTCCACACAGACACACACAACCCTAAGCCTACCCTCCATATACAGCTCTCCGCTTCCCCCACACAGACACACACAACCCTCAGCCTACCCCCCATATACAGCTCTCTGCTTCCTCCACAAAGACACACACAAAACACTCAGCTTACCCCCGAAATACAGCTCTCAGCTTCCTCCACACAGACACACACAACCCTCAGCCTACCCCCCGTATACAGCTCTCAGCTTCCTCCACACAGACACACACAAAACACTCAGCCTACCCCCCCATATACAGCTCTCCGCTTCCTCCACACACACACACAAAATACTCAGCCAACCCCTGAAATACAGCTATCAGCTTCCTTCACAGAGGCACACACAAGCCTAAGCCTACCCCCCGTATACAGCTCTCAGTTTCCTCCACACAGACACACACAAAACACTCAGCCTACCCCCCATATAGAGCACCGAGCTTCCTCTACACAACACTAAACACACACACATTTAAACTCAACCATCCCCAATCACAGAACATAGCACAGGGCTCTAGGAGGGGACTTCAATATGTAGTTTAGCCCAGGGCCCGGAACCATGTTGGTCTGGCTCTGGCTCTGGGTATATGCTAAATAATCTTATAAATGTGCAAGGTCACTCAGCTACAAAATATCTGCACAGTCATGTGTATATGGTAATGTATAAATATAGATATGAAATTAATACAGTTATGGTTATCTCAATCAATGGGTATATTCCACATTCAATATACAGCGTAATTTTTTTTTTTAAATTCTTTATTTTGGTTGTGCATTTATGAAAATTACATACAAGCATTCTATAGGTCACAGTATCATAAACAAGCTTTAATACTATATGTTTAAAACTGGAAGTGACATTTGAGGAACATGCACATTTTTTATATTAATGTTTAAACGAGCTTTAATGAAAAGTCCCGTTAGGGATAAAATGATGATGAGTAACACAAAATGTTAACATAGAGCTTCTTTTAAATAATAAGTATAATACGGTAGCTTAAACTCTGCGGTTAGGTACAGGAGGCACGTTACAAATTGCTATGGGCATTAGGAGAGAGATTATCTGGTGAGACAGTGTTATCAAGGCATTTTGGGAGGCAGACATTAACATTGTCAGAGAAGGCGGCTAAACATCATATAATGTTAACTGATCAGTCTCACACTGGTAATATATTATGCTTGCCATTAGATATCTATGTGCATTAAATAGATAGCATTTTGTATTAACTGAACTGGCCGCTTCCTAGTGCATGTGTGTTCTCCTCTTGCAGGCCGTTTCCTTCGGCGCCATTTTGGGGCCTCGATTACCAGGAGGGGTGTGCGCTCTTGTTGGATGCCTGCTAGCTCTGCTGTGAGTGTGGTTAGTAGGTTCGTGTGCCTGGGCTTGCTGGTTCCTGAGTTCCATCTTCTCTCAGAATTTTGCAATTAGCGTATCTAGGTTGGCAAGGAAGTCAGGCCCCTCCGTAGGTCGGGCGTGTGATGCCGCGGCCATTTTGCCGGAGTTCGCCTCTTCCCGCCGTCGATGGAGCTCCCTCTTTGGAATTTTAGCAGGTAGGTGTTCTGTCAAGCTGTGACCGGGATAACCAGGTCAGGAGGGGTGAGGGGAACAGGGTGATTGGACAGTTGCCCTTCCGATGCAGGGCTGGGGAGAGCGGCCGCCTCCCCCCAGTCCCCTCACCTCTAGGCCGCGTCTGGACAGCATAGTCTCCCGGTCTCCGAGGAGCTTAGAACAGGTATCAGGCTTGTCACCAGGTCTCGCTTATCTCAGTCAGCGCTTTCCGGTTTGGTTTTTGACTCGGATTTGGCAAGGATCAGCAGTAATGTGGCCCATTAGACGGGAGCCCAGCTTACATGCGACCGCTTGGCTTGCTGGCTTAGCCCCGACCTAATTTTGTTTTTTTTTATTCATAGAATAATAGAAGAAATCATGCATAGAGTGCAGGGCAGTAACCAAATTAATAAAATGTATTTTATTTATGTTAAAACCACCATCTGCCCCTCCATCCCATAGGAAAGCATTGGGTTGGCTGAGCTTGTCAATGAGGCAGTTCAGGGGCAGAGCCAGCACAAGGCAAACACATCCCTGACCAATCAGCATCTCTTAAATCAATTTAACCTCATAGCATCTCTATGCAGAGGGTGGAGACAGTGAATATCAGTCACACTGTGCAGCACTTCCCCAGGAAGCACATCTAGTAGCCATCTGAGGAGTGGCCAATGGAGGTATCACTAGGCTGTAATGTAAACACTGCATTTTCTCAAAAAAAAAGTCTATACAGCAAAAAGCCTGAAGGTAATGATTCTACTCACCAGAACAAATACAATAAGTGGTAGTTGTTCTGGTGACTATAGTGTCCCCTTAATGTAAGAATACAAAGACCAACAGACTTAATTGAAGGAAATTTTACCTACAGCAAAGGAAAGGATTCTTTACAGGAAAAACAATGGCAATACGAGTTATCTACCTAAAGGTTGTTTTGTGTTTTTGTTTTGCAGATTAGGAGATGCTTACGTCTTTACTGGTTAACATGGGCATTATTAACAAACTATTTGTTTATTCAACGAGAACACTGGTTGTTGCTTTTCCCTGTTTGGGACACAATTAGAAATCACATCAAATTGTGTATTTTTATTAAAATGGCAAGTCCTCAGATGGCTGCCACCAGAGGTGCTTGCTGGGGCAATTTGACTAAGATTCGCTGTCTCCACCCTCTGCATGGAGACACTGAACTCTCCTCATAGAGATGCATTGAGATGACCACTTTTGATCATGTCAGCCAAGTAGGCAGATCAGGGACAGAGCCAGCACCAGCAGACTGGAATAAAGGTAAGATTTTAATATATTTAGGTGGGGTCAGGGAGAATAGTTTTTAATACTATAGGGTCAGGAATACATGTTTGTGTTCATGACCCTATAGTGTTTCTTTAAAGATGGCCCTGGATTGGATTAGCCATATTAATCCAGTACAGAAAAGGCCAAAATATCCACAATATTGCAGTATGTGATGATAGCTTTTAATTAGGCTGATAAAATATTTGAAAGACAAGATTTCTCATGTTAGCTCTATTTGGAATAGAAATGAACTGTACAAAAAAGATGGTTTGCATGTTTCTCAAAAGGGAACAAATGTTCTCAGTGAGCAGTTCAGAGGTTTCGCTAGGAAGTATTTAAACTAGGAGGGGGGGGCAAAAAGGTGGTAAAACATCAATCCAATTGCCCCCCAAAACAGGTATCAGATATTACTGTAGGTGAAAGTTTAGGATCTAGTAATCATCAGTCAGTGTGGTTTAATATAAGAACAGTGACTGAGTCACACCCCACAAAAACTAAAGTTTTAGACTTTAGAAAAACAGACTTTTCTAAAATTAGAATATGCGTAAAGGAGTCCTTGTCAGACTGGAGCAGTTTAAATGGAGTCCAGGAGAAATTGGATTATATTAAAAGTTGCACTGCTGAAGGCAACAGAAAAATGCATTAGGCTTGTCAGTAACAGCAAAAATTTTAAGAAACCACTGTGGTACTCCGCAGATGTGGCCAAAATAGTTAAAAAAAAAAAAAAGTTAGCATTTAATAATTATAAAAAAAACAGAGTGAGGAAGATAGACAGATCTAGGAGATTAAGCAGAAAGAGGCTAAGCAAGTTATAAGAGCCTCCAAATCACACACAGAAGAGAAAATAGCACAGTCGGTAAAAAAGGGGGGACAAAACATTTTTTAGATACATAAATGAGTAAAGGAAAGTTAAAACAAGCATTAGTTAGTTAGATTAAAAACAAAAGAAGGAAGGTATGTAGAAGAGGATAAAGGTCTAGCTGATTGGTCTAGCTTAATTAATATTTTTGTTCAGTATTTACAGATGAAAATGAAGGAAAGGGACCTCAGTTAGGAAAAAGGACAAATAAGTCATTTATTACACGTGAGTTTACAGAGGAAGAAGCTCTATTTCAACTGTCAAAAGTAAAGACAAATAAGTCAATGGGCAAAACCATTAACAGATTTATTTAACCAATCATTGTTAACAGGAGTAGTCCCAGAAGATTGGAAGTTAGCGAATGTTGTGCCCATTTACAAGAAAGGTAATAGGAAGGAGTCGGGCAACTATAGGCCAGTAAGCCTTACTTCAGTAGTGGGGAAAGTGATGGAAACCATGTTAAAGGATAGGATTGTTGAACATCTAAAAACACATGGATTTCAAGATCAGAGACAACATGGGTTTACTTCAGGGAGATCATGCCAAACTAATCTTATAGATTTTTTTGATTAGGTAACTAAAATTATAGATCAGGGTGGTGCAGTAGACATTGCCTACCTAGATTTCAGTAAGGATTTTGACACTGTTGCACATAGAAGGCTTATCAATAAACTGCAATCTTTAAGTTTGGATTCAAATATTGTTGAATGGGTAAGGCAGTGGCTGAGTGACAGGCAACAGAGGGTTGTAGTTAATGGAATATATTCGAAGCATGGGCTTGTCACCAATGGGGTACCTCAGGGATCTGTACTTGGACCCATTCTCTTTAATATTTTTATTAGTGATATTGCAGAATGTCTTGATGGTAAGGTATGTCTTTTTGCTGATGATACTAAGATATGTAACAGGGTTGATGTTCCAGGAGGGATAAGCGAAATGGCAAATGATTTAGGTAAACTAGAAAAATGGTCAGAGTTGTGGCAACTGACATTTAATGTGGATAAGGGCAAGATAATGCATCTTGGATGTAAAAACCCAAGGGAAGAGTATAGGATATTTGATACCCTACTAAGATGACTTAAAGGTAGGAAGAGCAGCTGGAAATGCTAGCAGAATGCTTGGTTGTATAGGGAGAGGTATTAGCAGTAGAAAGAGGGAAGTGCTTGTGCCATTGTACAGAACACTGGTGAGACCTCACTTGGAGTATTGTATGCAGTACTGGAGACCATATCTTCAGAAGGATATTGATACTTTAGAGAGAGTTAGTCAGAGAAGGGCTACTAAACTGGTTCATGGATTGCAGGATAAAACTTACCAGGAAAGGTTAAAGGATCTTAACATGTATAGCTTGGGGGAAAGACGAGGCAGGGGGGATATGATAGAAACATTTAAATATATAAAGGGAATCAACACAGTAAAGGAGGAGACTATATTTAAAAGAAGAAAAACTACCACAACAAGAGGAAATAGTCTTAAATTAGAGGGACAAAGGTTTAAAAATAATATCAGGAAGTATTACTTTACTGAGAGGGTAGTGGATGCATTTACTGAGCTGAAGTGGTAGAGGTTAACACAGTAAAAGAGTTTAAGCACGCGTGGGATAGACATAAAGCTATCCTAACTATAAGATAAGGCCAGGGACTAATGAAAGTATTTAGAATATTGGGCAGACTAGATGGGCCGAATGGTTCTTATCTGCCGTCACATTCTATGTTTCTATGTTTCTTTCTAGAGATTTCATCTCTTCCTCTGGTCTATTGCTGCAGAGGGAATCTCTCGAAACCTTGTTTCTACATTATAAAAAAAAATACTCTAAGTACTTTAAACATAAAATTTGCCAGAATATCCACCTGGAAACATACTGCAAGTCCTCTATCTTCTTACTTTAATAATTTGGCATAAAATTAGAAAATTACTTTGAATTCTGCCAACTGGGTAATTCACTATAGTATAATTTGTCACAGTATTCAAATTGAACATTATTCTGTTCTTAAACTTGGAAACCACAAAACATAACTGCCTTGAAATATTTATATATATTTTTTATATTCACTTCCTAAATGCTATCATTTACTATCATTTGCTATCATAATTTTTTCCTTACATGCTGTGAGTGCACAGGAACGGCTGGCCTACTAGTACTGAAAGACTTACACTAACAGCTAGTGTTAGATTTTCATGTTTGTGGGGAGCTGGGTGAGGACACAAACCATAATCCAACTGCTACTGGTTAAGTGGCAAAACACATCCTCTGTGTGACCCGTTATGTTGATTATGAAAACCGTGACTATCTGCAGTGAAAATAATTACTTTAGAGGTTTATAATGAAACTGGCGAGCACTGTGCAGGAATAAGCCCTGGGTACAGAATCTTGGAAGAGAACGTATAATATCACAATCTTGAAGGAGTTCTGTGAACTAACAGCAGGAAATGCATTGAGCTCCTTCTTGGGCGCTAAAAACTGGAGTAAGAGCTCTGTGACATGACAGCAAGAATTTCTGAAAAATCCTGGTTTAATTAATAACCTGGAGGATCAAAGAATACTCTGCTTTCGGTGCACTGTGGAGGTTAAACTACAATTTTATACTGGGTGGGTTTATATTATTAAAGGGACACTCCAGGCACATTAGGTGCACTGTGTAGGTTAGGTTACCGTTAGTTATATTGGGTGGGTTTATATTATTAAAGGGACACTCCAGGCTCCCACACACGTTAGATGCACTGTGTAGGTTAGGTTACAGTTAGTTATACTGGGTGGGTTTATATCATTAAAGGGACACTCCAGGCTCTCACACACGTTAGGTGCACTGTGTAGGTTGGGTTACAGTTATACTGGGTGGGTTTATATTATTAAAGGGACATTCCAGGCTCCCACACACGTTAGATGCACTGTGTAGGTTAGGTTACAGTTAGTTATTCTGGGTGGGTTTATATTATTAAAGGGACACTCCAGGCTCCCACACACGTTAGATGCACTGTGTAGGTTAGGTTACAGTTAGTTATACTGGGTGGGTTTATATTATTAAAGGGATACTCCAGGCTCCCACACACGTTAGATGCACTGTGTAGGTTAGGTTATAGTTAGTTATACTGGGTGGGTTTATATTATTAAAGGGACAGTCCAGGCTCCCACACACGTTAGATGCACTGTGTAGGTTAGGTTACAGTTAGTTATACTGGGTGGGTTACATAGTTAAATAGTTACATAGCTGAAAAGAGACTTGCGTCCATCAAGTTCAGCCTTCCTCACATTTGTTTTTTGCTGTTGATCCAAAAGAAGGCAAAAAAACCCCAGTTTGAAGCACAATTTTGCAACAAGCTAGGAAAAAAATTCCTTCTTGACCCCAGAATGGCAGTCAGATTTATCCTTGGATCAAGCAGTTATTACCCTGCATTGAAAGATTATATCCTTGAATATTCTGTTCTTGCAAGTATGCATCTAGTAGCCGTTTGAACATCTGTATGGACTCTGATAAAACCACTTCTTCAGGCAGATAATTCCACATCCTGATTGTTCTTACAGTAAAAAAACCTTTCCTTTGCCTTAGACGAAATCTTCTTTCTTCCAGTCTAAACGCATGGCCTCATGTCCTATGTAAAGTCCGGTTTGTGAATAGATTTCCACACAATGGTTTGTATTGGCCCCGAATATATTTGTGTAATGTTATCATATCCCCTCTCAGGCGATGTTTTTCTAAACTAAATAGGTTTAAATTTGTTAACCTTTCTTCATATCGGATTTGTTCCATTCCTTTTATAAATTTTGTAGCCCACCTCTGCACTCTTTCTAGTGCCATAATATCCTTCTTTAGAACAGGTGCCCAAAATTGGACAGCATATTCAGTATGTGGTCTTACCAGTGATTTATAAAGAGGCAAAATGATATTCTCATCACGAGAATGAATGCCCTTTTTCATGCATGACCTTGGCCACTGCTGATTGACATTGCACATTGTTGCATAGTTTGTTGTCTATAACAATTCCCAAGTCCTTTTCGTGTGTTGTTATCCCTAATTCGCTTCCATTAAGGGTATACGTTGCTTGTGTATTCTTTACGCCGAAGTGCATAACTTTGCATTTTTCAACATTAAATTTCATCTGCCATTTGAGTGCCCAGTCCCCAGTCTATCTAAATCCCTCTGCAGCAAAGTAATATCTTGCTCACATTGTATTATTTTACAAAGTTTTGTGTCATCTGCAAACACTGAAACATGACTTTCAATGCTGTCTTCAAGATCATTTATAAACATGTTAAATAGAAGGGGTCCCAGAACAGACCCCTGAGGGACACCACTTGCCACCTCTGTCCAGCTTGAAAATTTACCATTAATGACAACTCTTTGTACTCTGTTTTTAAGCCAATGTTCTACCCAAGAACAAGCATTTTCATCTAGACCGATTTCCTTGAGTTTGGACACTAATCTATTGTGTGGAACTGTATCAAATGCCTTGGCAGAATCCAAATAGATTACATCCACTGCAACACCCTGATCTATACTTCTACTTACTTCTTCGTAGAACGCAATCAAGTTAGTTTGACATGACCTGTGCTTCATAAAACCGTGCTGATTTTTGCTGATAACCACGTTCTTCTCAAGGAATTCTTGAATATTATACCTTAATAACCTTTCAAATATTTTACCAGCCACAGAAGTTAAGCTCACAGGTCTATAATTCCCAGGGTTTATATTATTAAAGGGGCACTCCAGGCTCCCACACTGTGTAGGTTAGGTTACAGTTAGCTATACTGGGTGGGTTTATATTATTAAAGGGACACTCCAGGCTCCCACACACGTTAGATGCACTGTGTAGGGTAGGTTACAGTCAGCTATACTGCGTGGGTTTATATTATTAAAGGGACACTCCAGGCTCCCACACACGTTAGATGCACTGTGTAGGTTAGGTTACAGTTAGTTATACTGGGTGGGTGTGTATTATTAAAGGGACACTCCAGGCTCCCACACACATTAGATGCACTGTGTAGGTTAGGTTACAGTTAGTTATACTGGGTGGGTGTGTATTATTAAAGGGACACTCCAGGCTCCCACACACGTTAGATGCACTGTGTAGGTAAGGTTACAGTTAGTTTTACTGGGTGGGTTTATATTATTTAAGGGACACTCCAGGCTCCTACACACGTTAAGTGCACTGTGTATGTTAGGTTACAGTTAATTTTACTGGGTGGGTTTATATTATTTAAGGGACACTCCAGGTTCCCACACATGTTAGATGCACTGTGTAGGTTAGGTTACAGTTAGTTATAGTGGGTGGGTTTATAATAATAAAGGGACACTCCAGGTTCCCACATGTTAGATGCACTGTGTAGGTTGGTTAGTTATACTGGGTGGATTTATATTATAAAAGGGACACTCCAGGTTCCCACACACGTTAGATGCACTGTGTAGGTTAGGTTACAGTTAGTTATACTGGGTGGGTTTATATTATTAAAGGGACACTCCAGGTTCCCACACACGTTAGATGCACTGTGAAGGTTAGGTTACAGTTAGTTAAAACTTCCATGGGCAACTGACACAAGAGCTCCCTTACAAAGCACAGTATATTACAACCTATAGTACTAGTTTTGTAGTTGCCAGACATTTTTTCACAAAGCACTCAAATGGAAAAATATATTTATTTTTAAATCGCCATGTGCACAGGGGAAAAGGCAGATGAAAGCCAAACACATTTTGGACCTAGAAGACCTTATTCATAGATTTCAGTATTAGCAAAGAAATCTAATATTAAACATCTTCAAACAGGCTGAAGAATATCAATCTTGCTCTGCTAATTTTATGTATTTGATAAAGAATTGGGGAAATTGAACATTCTGAACTTTCTTTCTGACACTTAACACCTAAACATGTCTTTAAATCTCCCAACACAGAGATCGTAATAAGAGAGAAAACGGAGATCAGAACTGGTATGGGTTACATAATATTAGAAATTGTTCAAAGTAGTGGTCCCATGTTTAAAGCTGTTGATTATGTTGACAATGTTTACATCATTATCATACTTAGAGGGTCACCCAAACCTATATTTACCTCCATTTAGGACCAAGAGTGTAGAGTTTTTGTGTGGAGGAATTAAAAAAAACAATTGGGAGTCTATTTCACAGATATTTTACGGATTTCAGCTCATAAAGTAAGATCCATCAGCATAGCAACCAAATAATGTACTTGACACTCATACAAAAAGAAAAAAAGAAGGAGAGGGGGCCTAAGCGCTGATTGAGTAAGAAGCTGTCTGACTAAGTTACTCAGCTACATCTTTAAACTGAGCATATATCTCAAGATGTATTGTATCTCACCACGGCTAGTTTGCTATGTATTGTCTAGAGAGGACCTGATTTTTTTCTGGTGCTTTCCTGGGATTTATCCTGTTGTGGCCTACCAGCGTTCCTCACGAGAAGGATCCGGACGATTCCCGACTCACACAGCTCAAGCAACGTGATTGGCCTGATCTGCCCCCACCCTTGACCAGTGGGGTTTATCTCGGTGCTCACTGAAGAGTTCCTCTGATCCTCCGACAGGGATGCTTTGCTTATCCAGCACTGCTTTACCTCTGAGGCCTCTGTTTAAAATGGGCACTGCACCGGCACACCAGCAAATGTCTATCTGACAATCTTCATTGGTAGACACATTTCTCATGGTCTTTGAAGACCTTTCTGTGGGATTCTGGATATGGCTCGAATAGTGTGTTATCATGAAGAAACTGGCTACGTAGAAATCCGAGGACCATTGGCCCCTTATCTACTCTAGGGATTTCAAGCTCTCTCTCTCTGCTACTTTCCTATGCTACAAGCCTTTGGTAGAAGACCACCTAAAAACAGTCCACACCCTCGGGGGATCATCTGGTGCATACCAGTACTTCTTGGAATCAGTTTACAAGTGTTGGCTCTCCATCCTGGAACAGGATAGCAGACTAACACTATTCCCGCCCAGGAACTAGACGACACAAAGTCCTGGGAGCTGTAGTCCTTAAAAGGACATTCCTTGATGAATCCTCCACCAGCTGGAACGAGATGCTGAACAGTGATTAGTCCTTTCCCCTCCCAGTAACTAGACAACATATAGTTCTGGGAGTACAACTGATGTTAATGAGCCAAACTCGGCCTTTTATGAACAGACCCCAGCATGGGGTCTCCATTGTATTCAGCATAAGCCCCTCCCAGGAATCTCTGGGCCTCGGATATAATTGCGTTAAAGACCGGTAAGCTAATTATCTCCCAGGAACAGAGAGCCCAACACAAAATATAAAACTATAAAAGTACCCCCAAACATAATATCATAAAATAACCCCACATGTTATACCTCCCCAAATATCCCTGATCTCAGCGCCCAAATTCTCCAAATAGCAGATCCACGCAGTTTAAGGGAAAAGCCACCGTGTTAAAGCTCTGACAGGCTGCATACGTGGTCCTATGCACAAAATAGTTCCAGGGCGTTTGGTACTTTTGATGGTGAACTTTTGGGAGCTCCTGCAGTCGCAATACGGGGTACTACACCTGGCTCTCAGGTACCATTTGTTCCCCTTAGTCTCAGGCATATTTTCTCAAAAAAGCGCTCTCTTGGCAGATTTCAAAGTGGTTCAAAACCGCAGACCATGTTGTTGGGGAACTGCAAGATCACCTCATGCCGAAAACAGTTCCATAACATTCACCGCTAAATACCGCTGAGGTGACCAGGAACTCACGAAATCATCATGCTGAAATTTGTGCCTTAGCAGTCTCGGCTAAGTACTGTTGATAACTATTCAAAGGTTTGGTTTATGCGAATGGTCACCAGAGACCTAGCGTTCGGTTCCATTCACATGAAGGGAAAGTGCTGAAACCAGGGGCACACAGGGAAAGCTACTAATGGCGACTGTGATAGGGTGACTAAGTTGAGATATCTGTTATAGGGAGATTAGGGGAGGTGACTGTGGTAGGATGACTAGGGGGTGACTGATATGGGGATAAGAGGAGGTGACTGTGATAGGGTGATTAGAGAATGTGATTGTGATAGGGTGATTAGGGGGTGAATGTGATAGGGTGATTAGAGGAGGTGATTGTAATAGGGTGATTAGGGGGTGAATGTGAGAGGGTGATTAGGGGGTGACTGTGATAGGGTGATTAGGGGGGTGATTGTGATAGGGTGATTAGAGAATGTGATTGTGATAGGGTGATTAGGGGAGGTGACTGTGATAGAGTGAGGTGGGTAAGTGTGACAAATTGAGGGGTGTGAGTTTGACAAGCTTTTGCGGGTAGGTATGCCAAGGTAAGAGTGAATAAGCATGCAGGAGTTAGGGATAAATGTGACTGGGTTTTGGGGGTGAGTGTGAGATGGTGAGGGAAATGTGACAGAGTGTGTGGCAGGGAAAGGTCTGCTCAGTGACTGTGGCAGTCTATACATCTATATATAATTTGCACCCCCATCTCCCACCCACTTACCTCCAGTGCAGGAAGGGTGGTGGGTTTCCTGCTGACCCAATGGGACCAATCTTCCTGGTTTGGCGGTCTATGATGAAATTATACCGCAGGCTGCGAAACCCAGCACCTGCACAGAGCGCCAGAGCTGCAACGGAGTGCAGCTGCACCACAGACCTCCACAGGGGGTCAATTTCTAAAAAGCCTGGAGGGAGATCTTGGTCGGCTCAAGGAGGTGGGCCCAATCAGAGCCTGAGATTACGGGCGTCTGGCTCTTGCACTCACAGCCCCCTAGTTTCCACAAAGTCTACATCTTAGCTTCCTGTCAATCATGATTATAAGTTATGTCCTTTGCTGCTGGCAGTCAGAATAGAGAGAGCATACAGGGAAGAGGAGATATTCATTTTTTTTCTATTTACTCTTCATTGGCAATGAGTGCCCTGCTATGCCAGGACTGAGCTGGATTTATTTTTTTATTCTAAGTTATAGTTTTCAGGAAGTGATGATTCCCATTAATTAGAGAATGAGCTAATAAATACATTTTCCGAGTCATTTTATCTGCTCATCCTTCGACAATTTGGCTGAAATGTGTGACATCCATTTATTTTATTTTGCGGATTTCTTTGAATATATTTTTATGATTTTTAGCTAATATTTTCTATTTGTAGGTGGAGCAGGTTTACAAAGGACAAACTAAATGACAGTATTTACAGTTCACAGACATGGGACCCTGGATATAGTTATTTGGTAAAAACACATTTTCTGTTTAATGTTAACATCCTGATTGGCACTGTGTGTGTTGACCTTTCTTGTAGCCTTTTCTGTTATGTGTATCCTAATTTCTTAGCATCCTTTTAGTGTAAATGGCATTTCTACTCAATATTTATCAGTTTCTCATTTTGCTTATTGGATAATATTTGTTACTGGTTGTTCGGGTGTTTCAGATTTTTGGCGCTCTCTTGGAAAACCAGAGCAAAGATAGTGGCAAGAAGCCAAGTATATATTGCATATTAATGTGTTCACATCAACCTATCACTAATTAACAGATCTCTCCCAAATTATAGAAACCAGTAACGAATCCGCAACATTGCTCTTAACGTCATTTTCTTAATTTTCATTCAGCTGAAGCGCATCCGTTAAGAAGACAAACAAAATCAGAAACATACCAAAACAGAAAAAAAAATTCTCTTTGTTTTTTTACATTTCTCCGCATGCAGAAACTCCAGGAAACAATCTAAACATGGTCACTCCGCAGCACTGGCTCACGCAAAAGGGAGCTCTGCACACAGACAAATCATCTCTGAACTGCAACCATTCAGAAACAAACCTATAAGTACTCACAAATACACACACCATCTCAGAACCATGAGGAACGAATGACCTGATTATGTGCAAATAAAATATATTAAACGTGCATTTAGCAAGTCCACTGAGTGCCCTCCTTCAGAGGTTGTATGTTATGACCAAAGTTTGCCACACCCAGGTGAGTAACTACTGTGTAACAAAGATAAAATAACGCTTACAGGGTTATTTATTAATGTGAGAATTTAATGTGAATTTCTAATTTAAGGCAACAGTAGCATAACTGAAAGCAAAACGGACTTGATAAATAACCCCGTCAATAAATATGGGCTCAACCAGGAACTGTGGAGCTTTAAGAGAAAAAATAAATAAAATTATATATATAAACATATCAAAATATAGGCTAGCACTCACGGTCTTGTAGTTAAAAAAAATCATCTTTATTCCGTTATTCCATAAAAACGCAACGTTTCAGCCCACGTCCTGGGCTTTCTTCAGGAGCAACAAACAACAATAACCTATCAGCCTAAAATGCTGCAATATATACCCATAAGTAGGAGAGAAAGAGAAAAGGAAATTAAAAATTAAACACACCAGAGGTGATGTCTATTTGCCGGTCGGCGTCTGTGTTGAAGTCTGTGCGTCTGCATAAGGGTATAACAACTCGGAAGTACTATGCGGGGACGTGACCTCCGATGCCACAATGTGCTCAGTGCATGTGCGCATCCGTGGGGGTGTCTTACCCGGAAATATAGTGTAGATACAACCTTGTTTGCATGGTTACCAGCCCTCGCAACAGGGTACCATGGAAACCATAGTAAACGGTGTTAGGACAAGACTTCGGAAACATAGAACCAATAAATATATGTGTGATGCCATCAATAGAATAATCTAATAGTGCTAGTATATATATGGGCGCAGGAATCATGCCATAAGCTCCTGTAAAGAAAGTGTCAGAATGTATAAAGTGAAACTGTGCATAACAGAGTGAGTGATCTGGCTAAATGTAACTGCATTCAATGTGATAGTGAGATAGAAATATACAAATATATAAAATAAAGCATCCACATATCTCTATGGGATAAATTAACCAGTACTATATACTGCAATGGCTAGATAAGGCAATTATATATGTGCACAAGTAAAATCACTTTAAGGTTCCAAGAGAAATATTCTTCAAAAAAAATGTAATTAAAAAAATTATAAAATAAAAATATGGATAAAGATCAAAATTGAGTTGAATTGATGTGTATCATAAATAAGGGTGATACGAAATCACTTCATTCAGTCCGTTGGGGGAAACAGAGTTGAGCTTGTAGATCCAGAAGGTCTCTTTCCTCAATAGTAAATTATCACGATACCCACCACGTTGTAGTTGTGGTATGTGATCTATTGCCACAAATTAACATTTTCAGAATCGGCATACTCCAAATACAAACATATGTCAAAATCATACAAATTGGTCCAGTGGGTCAAAAAGTTAGATCGAATTACTTTGTGACCAAGTGAAGCATGGATTTTCTGCCCAAAACCAGTTCCACAGAGTCTTCTATCCTGGAGATAATTGGAAAGTAATCCAATTATCTCCAAGGACAGAGGCAAAACTCCATTGAACACATGGTGCCAAAAGTCAAAATACATAAAAATATATAACTGTGCAGCTATTGCAAAAAACAGGTACATTCAACATATTCCCAGATAGCTTAGATCTGAGCGTACATTATTATTGAATGGCACTCAGATCACATATATACAGTTCAATTGCCATGGAGCCAAAGTCTTTCATTATACATATGGGCTCCATGGCATAGCTATCTGGGGTATCACTGTTCAAATAGGTCAAGTACCGAATGACTCGGCTTTGGTGTCTTTGCAGGGGAAAATCAAGCGTTTCAACATGGGGCCATAGTCTAAAGGCAGCAGGCGGGCAACCAGGCTCCTCCAATGCACACTGGCGAGATTGGTCTTGTCACATCTCTCCCCTTTTCCAAACAGACTAACAGGGTATCTGACCTCTTGCCGGTCAGTGCCCTGGTTAGTCCAGCAGCCCACCCACAAAACACAATCAGCAGTACAGCCCACCCACAATAACTGGTTAGTACACCTGGGTAGAGGAGAAACTTGTCCATGTCCAGGTGCCTCACCACGGCTGTGCAGGGTACTGGTAGGCTGCCTTGGTGGGTTGCTGAGTGGGCAGAGACCAGCGGTACTCTGCCCTGGTGCCAGTGCTACCACGGTAGTAGCCTGGTTGGAGCCTGGTTGTTGGAGGGGGAGACCGACTGTCTCCCCTTTAGATACACAGCTCTGCTGCTGGAGGGGGAGACCGACTGTCTCCCCTTTGGATACACAGCTCTGCTGCTGGAGGGGGAGACCGACTGTCTCCCCTTTGGCTAAACAGCCCTGTTGCTGGGGGACAGGACCAACCGTCTCTGCCCCCAGTAGCTCAGCCTGCCGCTGGGGAATGGAGACTGGGCTCCCAATTCCCTGTACATTGCTCTGCCGCTGGGGAATGGAAACTGGGCATCCAATTCCCTGCAATTCACTCTGCCGCTGGGGGACAGGACCAGCTGTCTCTGCCCCCTGTAACTCAGCCTGCCACTGGGGAATGGAGACTAGGCTCCCAATTCCTAATAAATCACTCTGCCACTGGGGGACAGGACCAACTGTCTCTGCCCCCTGCAACTCAACCTGCCGCTGGGAAATGGAGACTGGGCTCCCAATTCCCTGCAGGACCGGTGGAGAGACCTCGGTCCCATCTCCACAGGCCACCTGGGGTCCTTCCAAGTAAATACACTATATTTCCGGGTAAGACACCCCCACGGATGCGCACATGCACTGAGCACATTGTGGCGTCGGAGGTCACATCCCCGCATAGTACTTCCAGATTGTTATACCCTTATGCAGATGCACAGACTTCAACACACACGCCAACAGGCAAATAGACATCTGTGGTGAGTTTAATTTTTAATTTCCTTTTCTCTTTCTCTCCTACTTATGGGTATATATTGCAACATTTTAGTCTGATAAAACCACTTCTTCATGCAGAGAATTCCACATCTTTATTGTTCTTACAGTAAAAAAACCTTTCCTTTGCCTTAGACGAAATCTTCTTTCTTCCAGTCTAAACGCATGGCCTCGTGTCCTATGTAAAGTCCGGTTTGTGAATAGATTTCCACACAATGGTTTGTATTGGCCCCGAATATATTTGTATAATGTTATCATATCCCCTCTCAGGCGACGTTTTTCTAAACTAAACTAAATAGGTTTAAAATTGTTAACCTTTCTTCATAGCTGATATGTTCCATTCCTTTTATTATGTTTGTAACCCGTTGTTGTTTGGATGTGGGCTGAAACATTGAGTTTTTATGGAATAACGGAATAAAGATGATTTTTTTAACTCTCCCCCTCTCTCCATATATATATATATAAACCAAGAGGTTGCACTCACCTGAACATGCATATGTTCATGGGGGGGTGGGGGAGAGACCACCATGGGAGGGGAAGTGGGGGAGGGGTGGAGGAGGGACCTCCATGGGGGTCGAGAAGCGGAGAGACCACTAAAGGACATGGGAGAGCTCTGTGGGGGGATAGGAGAGAGCCCTAAGGGATGGGGGGAGCACCAAGTGAAGAGGGGGAGGGTAGGAGAGAACACTGGGAGGCAGGAGGGGAGAGCACTACAGGAAAGGGGGTGGGGAGATCACTAAGGGACTGGGGAGATCACTAAGGGACAGTGGGCAGGGGAGAGCTCTAAGGGACAGGAGGGGAGAGCAGGAAGGGACAAGAGGGGAGAGAGGCTGAGGAAGGGGGGAAAGAGAAGCACAAAGGGGCTAGGAGGACTCAGTCCCTATCCTACCCCACAAAATCTCTCTTTCACACTACGCACACAATGCTTCCCTATACATACACAGAAACACACCATGCTTCCCTTACACACAGATAAACACACCATGCTTCCCTTACACACAGAGAAACATACAATGCATCCATTACACACAAAGACAATGCATCCTTTGCACACATACACAGAAACACACAATGCATCCCTTACACACACACTGCTTCTCTTAGCACACACCAAAACACAATGCACCCCTTACCTATACAGAAACACACCTTGCATCCCTTACACATACACAGATTAACACAATGCATCCCTTAAATACAAACACACACTGCATTCTATCCCTTTCACAAAACACACTGCATCACCTACACAAACTGGTATCCCTATACACTACATTCCATAAGCACACACTTTAGATCCTCTACAATAACACATCCCATACACACTCCACTCCCTGTGAGCGAACATATAGGTGGACTTATGGGTGGGCCTTATGGGCATACTCACCATCAGGCCCTGGGGCCCAGACCTTGAGCTGTGTAAGGGGCCCCCAAAAAATGGAGCTGCTTCCGGTTCTCCCAGAACATTGAATTTTGTGACCACAGTTACAAACAGCCTCCAGAGATCCGGTTCTACACCAGACCAGTGGAGCCAAACTGCAGCCAGAACCCACCATCCTCATCTGATTGTAAGTAGGCAATCTAGTATATTATTAGTGACACTAATCTCTAATTTACCTCACATTAAATGGACACTATAGATCCCAGAACCACTGCAGCTTAATGAAGTGGTTCCAGTGTCTATAGCCTGTCCCTGCAGACTTTTTAATGTAAACACACACTGTGTTAGTTCATATGGCAGTGCACTCACTCATAACCTAGGCTAAAATAATGGGGGTTTAGTTACAGTATATGATCATACATTGCATAAGCCTGCCACAACGTCAATGTACCCCATTCCTTGGATATGACTTGTTGAAAATGGGGTACATTGGCATTGTGGTGGCTTATGCAATGTATGATCATATACAGTAACTAAAAACCCCATTATTTTAGACTATGCTAGGTGTTTTTTTTAAATAAAAGCAATTTACATTCTGTGAACTTTGAAAGTGATGTTTAGTGAATGAGTGCGCTGAATCTTGTATGATTATAAATATAAAGTAAAGTGTTTTAAAGTTTGCTGCCAGTCTGACACTGCTAGTGTGTAGTTATGCTTGCTCATTCCTCTGGCACTTTAAAATAAGACAAAAATAAACCAACATTTGGAAATCCACTTGGCTTCATAAAAATCAGTTTTTATACAAGGTTTGAGAACATAAGGAATTTTATGGTGGACCTGAACCAGTGGCGTACACACAATCCATGGGACCCTGGTGCGAAACTGATCCCGGTCGCAGCTGCGATCCCTGGGTCCTCTATATGTACGCCAGTGACCTGAACTATAAATGTATAGCCAAGCTCTGAAAATCTATAGTCTAGAGGAATAATAGTATAGCAAACATTATGGAATAGCTGACTGGATCCATTCACATAACCTATGATCACATAATGTCCACATTTATGGCTCCCCATGGTTCATTGCAGAAGTAAATATTTGAAAGAACAAGGAGACTTCTCCAAACATATGTAGAGATGTCCTCAGAAAAACTCTCTAAATACTGCTTTTTTCGTATAGCAGGTAGGTCCATTTTCTAAACAGAGCAATTAAAGGTTTTTCTGAATCCTAATTACCACTCTAAGCTTGCAGACAGCCCAGTGTACTGGCCCATTTTACTCACACTGTGCTTTTATAGACACGTGGGTCATTTGAGGAAAGGATAAAATGTGGCACCATGACCAGTTCCACATCACATTTTACATGATTAATGTTTCTCAGGTGTTTAAACCAGCTCAAATGTAACACCATCTGGATAAAATTCATTTCTGAAACCAAGGACATGGCTGTCCATTGCTGGCTACAGGTGATAGAATTTAGTGATTAGTTGTGCAATCTGCTAGCGGTGGCATTGTGATCATATGCCATACTTCAGTCTTATGAGCAAAAGAAACCAGACTAGCCTATAGAGCAGGGTTTGGCAACCTTCGGCACTGCAGATACAGTGTACTACATATCTCTTTATGATGTGCCAGCATTATGTGATATGTAGTTCACATTATCTGGAGAGCCAAAGGTTGCTTACACCTGCTGTAGAGTATAACATATGGAAGACCATTCAGACAATCCACAAAACAAATGTACAGGAACGTATGATTACGGTGGAAATACATTTTCTGTGTTCTACCCAAAAGATAGAAAAGTGCCCTCTACAGTAGGTTAAGGAGACAGTGGTGTCACATCTTGCAGCTTAGCCTCCATTCTGAAGAGTGATACAAGTTTCACACCTTGTCCACTTTCAAGACTTTGTTTGGTAATGTCTAAATCTATTGAAATCTACTGTATATTGCTGGCAAAGATTTATTTTCCCATCATGGCAAAGCAAAGCAGCCGGGAAATCACAGTTTTATCATTTCTACAAGCGTGCAATAAGACAACATTCCTGACTTTGTCTTATGTTTAAGTTGAAATGTGAATTTTAGTGGAATTCCATAACAATATTCAGGAAGAAAGGAATCTGTATTTATAAAAACTTGTTTTAATATCTAGGATTTAATAACTTCTACTGTACACATCTCTGGGACCTGATTTCCATCAGATCAGACTGCGTTTACGTACCCCTGAACTGAAACCTGAATTTTTCCTTGTATATTCAGGCATTTTTGTAAGAATTCTAATTATTTTCATTTTTGTGATGTTTCATTTTTTGTGACATTTGGATGCATAAAAAAACAAACAAAAAAAAAGTTTGATGGCGCCTAAAACCATTGTCAGATCTGGACAATAATGTGCCTCAGCTCATCAAGTTTGGCTCCAGCTCCCAGGTATTTAGAGAACCTATTGTCCAGATCGAGTTTGAGTTCTTTTCATCTAATCGAACATCACTGAAATTCCTCAGACGTTGAGCGATTCCCATCTCTAGTCTCGATCACCAACAGCCAAAGCTCCACAGTCAACAATGGATACATTGAACATTCTACAAGAACCTTACGTCATTGTGCTGGAATTTGGATCAATATGTGTTTCACTTTACTGTATTTGTATTGTGTTAATAGTACAGGCAGAATTATACATTGTAAAAAAAATAAAACACATGATAATAAAACATTCATTGGGAAACCCTGGCCTACAGCGTTTACACGTGTTAAATCTTACCGGAACAGAGCTCTTTGAGCAAGAGATTTGGAATCCATCAAGAGAGATCCTATTGCAATCTAGTGACAGTGACACGCTTTGCGCCAATTCATCTTATGTTCAGGTTTGGCAATAAATATGCAAATTAACACTTAGGGGCATGATACATTCCAAATTAACATTTAGGATACGTTTCAGGAATCTTTATACATTGGTCATTCATAAACAATTCAAAATATGTTTCATACATTGAGCGACAAACAGACAAAAATCAACAATGTCCTTTCTTGCTACCCCATCAAAGCATGACACTGGCTTTCTCGATTCAAGGAGTCAGAAATCGATAAATGAAAAAAGCATTTTCTGCAATTAAACAGTTTAGTAATGATTGGAAGACATTCACCTTCATTACTGTCACTAATTTGTATCTAGGAGAACTAGATACAATATACCGGATAATAAATAAATCGCATAGGGGACACAGCGATATATTTTCTTTATGCTTTGCTATAAACATGGGTAATTAGAATGATAAAAGCTTGGCAAAACATCTCTGCTACAGCAACAGTCACGGAGTTCAGCCAAAGAAAATGTTGCCACACGTTTTGTTACATTATTCTACTTTTCTATAGGCAGGAGAATGTTAAAAGATACTAGTCTTGCTTGAACTGTGACAGCTCTATGTGTAGTAACTTCAATTAGAGTATAGTTTATGCATTTTGCTTTTTAAAGGTCCAGTAGGATTAGATTTAGAGTCACTAAATGTGTCTACAGGAAGATACCCAGTATTGTAAGAGCTTGGACCAGATCAGAGCCAATGAAGAGTATGAATAACATTCTAGAAGGTATCATGATGTAATATGGTCCTCCTCTGTAGGACTGTCTGCAGCTAAAACGTTAACAATCCCGCATAAAATTATCGTTTCTTTATAGAACAAAGGTTAATTTGAACTATAGTATCATGTGCAAAATTACAGTTTATTCAGAGTCCCCGTCTTGAGACATTGCATTCCAAGCTTGCATGGTATTTAAGGGACGGCTAAGTTTTGGAGTCCATGATTCTTCCGGTCATTAGTGGAGTAAATGCTAGGGTCCGGGAACGATTCTGATGCTTTGAGTTTAGACTGTGCTGAAAGAATCTCTGCTTGGAGGTCTTTGGCATGAGGACCGGAGAGGCCTGATATTTTTATGACACATCCAAACTATCTCCCAATGTCTGGCCCTTTGTCATAAAAAAAAAAAAAAAAAAAAAACTACTGTTAAATGTTGCCTCTAACTTACTGGTAAGCTACAGCATGGATATGCTTTAATATCCACAGCCATTCAATGTGCTCCTAATCGTGTGCTCTTTGGCTACCCAGTGCCAGTATTTAAGACATATTTAAACATGAACTGTTTAACCAAGACTTTTATTTACACCTAGTTCTAAATAATAAGTCTCAGTTGTTGAGCCAATAGAAATAAATGGACTTTAAATGAATGAGAGGAGAAACTACAAGGCAATGAACTGTCCATCTCACTGGCGTTCAAATAATTACAAAGAAGAAATTCTTACACACGGATATTATTCACTGTACATTTCTATACAATATACACAATACCTTTTGTTATGGGTACCTCTGTCAGTGAAAGACTTGACAGGATTCCTTGATGGTAATGTTGGAAGTCGCATACAATTGGTAATTTCAGTAAGATATGCTCAACTGCTTATTTTAATAGAACAGGAATTTTCATTAATAATTATACTAATTTATTATTCAATACTGCATCCACCAGTTAATGAAATAATAGTTGAACAGAATTCTTGTATTTTTAAGTGCACGCGGATAGGGAGGCCCCTATCACACAGACAGAAGAACATATATGACATTATATTAGGAGCTATACTTCCCATGTACCTACGCAGGCTGGAAATCCAGATACTTTCGGAAGAAACCAAATACTGAACAAGTAAAAATGTATACTATTAAAACACGGATTAACGTGGCTGGACGGATTCTTGTTCTGTTGCCTGGATGTTCATTTCAGAGACAGGACTTGTTTATTAAAATAATAACCATCAGCTGAGTATGTTTCTAAATATCAGTCCACATATAAACAAGTTGTAGAATCCTACAAGCCATTAAATAGGACGGTGGGTTTTAGTTAGTAGAATAGGCAGTCCTCCATCCTGCAATTCTAACCTGTGTTTCTGCATCTTCCATATTCAGACCATTCACAGCACCCAGTTTTAATAAGTATCCTGTAACTTTGTTTCCCTTGTGTGCAAATGTGTAACATTTAGGTAAATCTTTTACAAAGAAAGCATTCCAGTTTCCATGTTCAACAAGTGCACCAATTTTCTTAAATTCCACAGGAGAAACAACATGCATAAGTACAGCCACACCATGAGGCCAAATGCCCATTTTCTAAAACAGTTACCAGAGGGACCATGTGCTCTGTCTCCTAGTCAGTCTGTTATCTGAGAAAACGACATTTAAGTTATATACAGTTGGTCTCAAAGACACTTTGTAATATCACTCTAAACATTGATGGGATAAAAAGTGACCTTAGTGGTAAAATGACTGCAATAATAATAATTTAAATCCATTAAAACCTATGGGTGGTAGAGGGGAGTGTGCGCGATACTGTTTTGCCGTTTCTCACTCTTACCTTGTTCATAGTTTCTGTGCTTATTGGTACCTGTTTATATATAAATCCTAGTTGTACCTTAAACTCCTCAGCAGCTGAAAGCCTCTGCTTTAATTTTAAAGGGGTCATGGTAGTTTTGCACAAAACCATTGGGTGATGTTAAAACCGATTGTATTGCTATATAGCAAACAGTAAATATTTATAGTAACAAAAATGAACAATAACAAGGTCAATATTTTACATTACATTTATTGCAGCCATTTTAATACCAATATCACTCCGCTAAAACCCCCTTGGAATGTCTTTACGGAAAGTTGCATAATAACTAACATAGAAACTGAACAGGTTGACTGATTAATGTGCAGACAATTCTCCAGGTCTATATCATACGGCAGAGAATATATATCAGGACCTCTCGTAGCATGAACTGGAACACGCATTGCCCAATATAGAACATATCCACTTCTGAGGGTTGCTGAGCTTTAGTTGTGTTTGAACTACAGTTCACAGCACACTCGGCCAGCTTTTTTCCTAAATGGGACAGGATCTATATCTGTCACATATTTTAAATTGCATTTCTAGTTTCAGAAGTGAAATCTGTAGAATAATTTGCAAGTTACTTTACTGAACAGAGTTGTGATTTGATAACGACACTGCATATTAATTGCCAAGACTCGAAGAAATCTCAGCTGAGACAGAGATTTGTTCCAATATGGCAATTTATTCTATATTTTACAAATCCGTTGTCAATTCACAACTTTTTGGCGAATAAACCATGTAGGACCTCCATAAAGAACTCCAGTTCATCACACCTTTGTGAATATAGTCTTGTTAGTTTAAACCATTCTGAGTGGCTAGATTGTTTTCTACTCTCGTCTCCTATATACCCTTCCGGTTACATGACAATATCTTGGTGCAGTATTTTCTTTTCATTCATGGGTCATGTTATTGTCTGTACATTCATGCACTTATAGTTTGGGCTTTTCAATCCTAGGGGTGTCACACTTGCTTAAAATGAATAAGAGAAGGGCCCAGAATTGAGACCCAAACAGTCTATATCCATTCAAAAAGATGACGTGAGACAGCTATGTTTCAGCAGCTCCAGGTACATCCTAACTACTGAAATGTCATAGTGTTCTGCCACTTCCAACCCATGTATGAAGAAAAACGTCCCCCCCTTAGACAGATTAATTAACAGCATCCTATCACATTACAGCACGCATTCCACGCAAACAACACAAGATAATGAAACCCCCCTTATCCTCCCAAAGAAACCTGCCAGTTCCAGCTTTATTAACCCAAATCTTGCTAGTGAGAAAATGAAAAAAATATTTAAATGCATGTATCTCTCACACCAGCAGGGAAAGGGTTAAAGTATTGCTCTGGGTGTTTTTTTTTTTCTTTGTTTGTTTTTCCAGCAATTATGAAGGGATCGAGCTAATCTCTGCAGATGTCTTTGCTGCGGAAAGGGTTTTGCGATTGTGTGCGGGTTAGCCCTCAACCCACCAGCGAAAAGGGCCATAAAGCCGGGGTGAATCGATGGAGCTGTACAGTTCACAAATTGTTTGATCAGAGGGTGGTTGGTGT